GCCTGTGCTCTATCCACTGCACCACCCAGCTGCCCCTTAGTTTCCTCATCTTTAAAATAAGCTGAAGAAGGAAATGGCAAACCATTCCAGTATCTTTGCCAAGAAAATCCCAAATGGGGTCACGAAGAGTCAGATATGATGGAAATAACTGAATAACAACTAAAATCTACATTTCGTCACCTATAAAAAAAGGCATACCGCTGTCAGGATTCTTACAAGGATCAAATGAGATAATATTTAGAAAGCCCTTAGCACGATGCTTGGCACGTGGCAGGTGCTTAATTAATGCTTATTCCCTTCATTTTCCTTCCCAGTACTACAGTCTTAAGGGGAGGAGATGGGAAATATAGTAATCTCTGTTACCTGGGGACACCAGGCCTACCATGCCCCCATAGCATCTCTAATCTCTATTCTCTTCTCACCTCACATGGCTATTACCCTAGTTCAGGCCCTCAGTACCTACCTATCACCTGGACTATTGTCATAAACAGCCTTCTAACTGATCGCCCTGCCCTAAGTCTCTTCAATCTATTTTCAACAAAGCTGCCGAAGTAACATCTTAAAGCACAGGTCTGACCACCACGGAATTCCCCTGCTCAGTCAACTCCACTGGTTCCCTTTCCATCGGCTCAAGGATCAATTGCAAACTCTCAGTGTGGTGCTTAAATCTTTTTTACAACCAGGCTCCAGCCTACCTTTCCGGGTTAATTACACAGTACTCTCTTGCCATACTCCACTGCCCAGCCAAGACGACCTACCTCAAGCTCCTCCTCGGTAACTTCAACCTCCTATCTCTTGTCTTTGCCCAGGCTGCCCTGAATGCCTGGATTGCACTCACTCTTCTCTGCCTCCCACCATCCCTAGTTTCCTTCAAAACTCAGTTCTAGTGCTATCTCCTGCATGAAGCCTTTCTGAATCCCCCCACCCCCAGCTGCGAGTGCCTTTGCCCCTGAGAACTTCTTTTAATTTCTTGTGTTTTTATTCTGTAGTTACTCATCCACACAACAACAGTGGTTCTCAACCTTTTTGATCCATGACACAAAATTATTCTTTGGGGCAGTTAAGTGGTACAGTGGATAGAGCACAAGGACCAAAGTCAGGAAAATAGAAGTTCAAACCTGCCCTCAGATACTCACTAGCTATGTACTGCTAGGCATGTCATTTAACCTCAGCTTCCTCATCTGCAAAAAGGGGGAAACAACAGCACCTACCTCCCAGAGTTGTGAGGATCAAATGAGACAATAATTATAAAGTGCACAGTTCAGTACCCGGCCTATATGTTAGTTATTATTGATATTATTATTATTATATTATCGATTTGCCATGAGGGTTCTTGGCATAGTATGGGAGAGTCGGAAGACTCATATTTATTTTCATATACTTGCAATTCAAAGTTAAGTTCCACCTAGAACCAATCCCTCCTTTTACAGTATAAAATAGTGAAGATTAGCAAATATTGAAGATCAGCAGAGTTACTTGCTCACGACCACACAGATAGTAAGAACAAAAGGCAGAATTGGAACCCAGGTCCTTGTGGCTTCAAATTTAGCACTACACAACAATGGTCAAAGTATAGGACTTGGGAGACAGGAAGACCTGAGTTCCAATCCTACCTCAGACATTGTGTGACCCTGGGAAGTACTTAGCATCTCAGCCTCAGTTTCCTCATCTGTAAAATGGACATAATAATAGCACCAGCTTCATAGAATTATCTTGAGTCTCAAATGAGATAACATATGCGGACATTTTATAGACCTTAAAGCACTATGTTATTACTAGATATCATTATTATAAGAAATTGAGGGAGGAGGAGGAAGACACTTGGAAACGTGGACCAATCTTTCTGCATGTTTTACAGTCCTTTGAGCATTTCTGTAGCCAAGCAACTATGTGTTTAGTGTATCTGACTTTTTTGCTGCAACAGGTATGAGAGTTATAGGAGCAATGGAAGGATCGGGCAGCTGAACAGGGGTTTGGGCTGTATAGCAAAGAGAAATCCTTCATTGTAAAACCTCTTCTGAGACTTGATTGCATCATGGCCACTGAGTTCCTATGAACAAGGTCTTGAGTGAGAGTTGCCACCTGATTAGCCAGTCTCTGCTGTTGTGGGGGACAGGAACTAAGAGAATGGTCCTCCTTCCTGTGGCTCCCATTCAGGCGTGTGCTGGGGCCAAATTCAACCAGCTCCCAAGAATGGATCATTCATTTCTAGTATGAGCATTTATGCCACAGAAGTCAGGAAACACTACAAATTAGAGATTGATTGATTGTTTTGTTGATTGGCTAGATGTAAGAAAGAGATGGAGAAAATGCAGATTAAATTTAAAAGTACGTGTAATGTGCATACATTTTGCCCAGGGACCCAGTTGTTAAACATTTACCAACAAACCACTGCTCCCATTGGAGGCAAAACTAGACCATGTCACTAGTCCCTAATAGAACAATAAAATGTCAAAGCATGAGAGGATCTTAGAGATCCTCTTGCACAGAGGTTTTTAATCTGAAGTACATAAATTTGTTTTTAAAAAATATTTTGATAACTATTTTAATATAATTGATTTCCTTTGTAATCCTAATTTTAATGCATTTAAAAATGTTATTCTAAGATGGGATCCATAAGCTTCACCAGAAATACAAAGGGAACCATGACACACAAAAAGATTAGGAACCCTTGATCTAGCATAATCTTCTAATTCTATAGATAATGAAATTGAGGACCAGAGAAGGCAAGTGATTTGCCCAACTCAACAGTTAATCAGTGTTTAGCACACCTCTTGTGGCTTTGACATTTCATGGAAAATAGGCCAGCAAGTGGGTGAAAACAAATTAAGTATAAACTATTTCCTGATAATAGGTATTATAACAATATTTGCATTTTTGACATCACAAGTTGCAATGAGAGAGCTTGATATAGTGGATAGAATGTGGGGTTTTGAATAAAAAAAAAAAGTTCAGTTTCTCTCTTTGACTTTTGTGAGCTGTTTGACCCTGGGCAAATCATTTGATTACTGTAGGTTTTAAGCAACTTCTCTAACAGCATGAGCTCTCCCTTGGTTTTCAAGAGGGCAGCCATGGTAGATAGGTTTATAGCAGCATAGTAAATGTACTGCACAGTGCCTTCACACAATGGAAGGTAAAATTTAGGTTAAAAATGTTTTACTTTTAAGAATTTTATTTGCTATGCAGTATTTATGGTGGATTTCACGTGTTATAAAAAGTGAATATTGTCTGAAATAATTTTTTTATTGAGATGTGAGCACAAAAAGTCAGAATGAAGAGGTCTAGAGGTTTTGGGGTGCTGCTGGGACCCCAAGATCATGGTACTAGGCCCTGTCTGAAAGAATTCAACTCAAATTTTCTTCAGCCAGAGGAAAAGTTTATTAGTGATCAAACACATAGGCCAGGTGATGCCCATAAGGATGAGTGGGCATGAGAAGTTCTCAGCCCCGAATGAGGGCCAGGGTAGATCTTATATACTTTTGGGTGACCAGGGAAGGACCTGGGAAAATGGTCTGGGGAAAGGTTCTGGGTGAGAATTCCCAGAGATTGGAATGTCCAAGAGACTGAATAGACAATGGGAATAGATAATGAAGAAACTGAAAGGTATCTGACTGAGATTAAAAGGTAGGCTGAGGCTTTCAAAGGGAGATGAGGGGAGGGGGCCTGTAGACAAGGGGAGCCAGATTTCCTTTGGGGCAAGGAGTGAAGACCTCTGTGTGGGCCACACCCCATCAAGAATCTAGGGGATTACTAGTGAGAAAAAAAGTTCACAAGTTACCAATTTTATTTTGTGTACTGCATTTTATGGGTTATTTCATGGTTACTGTGTTAGGAAGAGTGCATATTATCAGAACTAATGTTTTGTGATAAAGAATTATACGCAAGAAAGTGTATTTTCAGCAATCTCTAGTGAAAGAATAGTTTTTGGTAGTCATGAGAACTTTAACCCCCTATTTCCCATAGGTTCAATATATCAACATTGCTGTTTTTGACTTTTGCACCATTCTCTGGAATGTTAAGCCCTTGAAAGTTGAAGGATTGATTGTATTTCTAACCCCAGCACTTAGAACATGCTAAGTGTTTTATTAAGGCTTTTTCATCCATTCATTCATTCATTCCTGCAAATTCTCAGTTGTCCTTGTAAGTAAAATGTGTCTGGCTCAATTTCTTAATTTATAGTTTTCTTTCCCCCTGGCTTCCCCAGTTTCTTCTTTCTCCTTTGGAATTGGGATGGTCCCTTCCCATTAAAGATTTTAAAATCTGGGAAGAAGTAGAGAATATTACCTACCTTTCCCACTCCCAATTCAATGGGGCAAGGGAGGGATCAGGTGCCTTACAACTCCAGGACACAATCTTTCACTCCTCCCCCATTCATTAAAGAGCCACAATGAGCCAGATTGGGGAAAGTGGTTGAAATGTCCTCTGAGTTTCTTACCAGAGTTAGATTGTAAGCCTATTCGATTTTCCAATTTTCTAGCTTCTTTGACCTTCCCCTGGTTCATCCTGAGGAAATGATTTTTTAACTTGCAGATGTGAGGTTCTTTTCTCCCTATTCTCCAAAGGAGTCTATTGTTTTCCAAAAGAGAGAAGTATTTAAACACTTCACTCAAGTCCCAGACAAAATCTCATCTTCTGCCAGAAGCCTTTTCCAATTCCTCTTAATTCCTATTTATCCTGTATATAGCTTGTTTGTACGTATTTGTTTACTTGTTGTCTCCTCCATTAGATTGTTAGCTCCATAAGGGCAGGGACAGTCCTCTGCTTTTCTTTGTAGGCCCAGTGCTTTGCACAGTGCCTGGCACCTAGTAGGGACTTAATAAATGTTTATCGACTAACACATGAACCAATCAAGGACAATGAAATATACACTTTTTCCCGGGCTAGTACAGTTCAGGGAAGACTTCATGGAGAAGCAGGGATCGGAAAGAGGTCTTGAAGGATGGGTAGGATTTGTTTAAACAGGGGAGTGAATCATAACATTAAGCCAACAGGACACTTACCAGGGTGAAGTCCACATTCAAGAATTCAGGTTTCTAGGACCAAGTCCTCCCGTTCCTCCTGCTGACCTGAGATCTGGGACCATCTCAGAACTTTTGAGTACCTGAAGCACTCCCTCCTCCCCATCACTGAGACATCTCATTTCTCTGCCATATAGAAGTACATCTCCCCAGATGTCTGACAGATGTCTTTGAGGTAGCAGCTCTATGTTTAGCCTTAATTTCTTCCTTTCTCATCCATGGAGCCAGTGCCAAATGTTTCAAGGTTGTCAGGGAAACAGAAAGATACATCCAATTAAATAGTACCACATAGAAAGGGAAGAAATTGGGAGCAGAGAGCCATAAGACATCAATGTGGGAAGGGACCCTACAAATTAGCTAGTCCAGGCCCCTATTCAAAGCATGAATCCCCTCCACCCCAGTCCTCCAAAATGTTCCTAGGAGAAACCTTTGGTGTAGCCTGGTGGCTAGATCACACCTCACCTAAACCAGACAAATGAGTTTGTCTCCTGCCTCTGCAGACATAATTGAAGGTCTTTTAAGACAAGAGATGTTTGGGTTTTGTCTTTGTATCCCCAGTGCTAAGTGTTTCAGTGGTTAGAGTACTGGGCCTTGAGTCAGGAACACATAGGTTCAAATCTAGCCTCAAATACTTACTAGTTTGATGATGGGCAGGTCACTCAAGTTTTGTCTGCCTAAGTTTCTTCAACTGTAAAATGGGTATATTAGCACCCACCACACAGGGTTGTTGTAAGAATCAAATGAGATATTTTTTAAGAATTTTGGACAACGCCTGGCACAGAATAGGTGCCTAATAAATGCTTGTTCCCTGCCTCATCCTTTCCCAACTGTGTCTAGCACGGTGCCTTGGATACAGTAGAACTTAATAAACATTTGTCATTGACTTAAATCCTTACTTATATCCTATCTGACACACACTCTGCCTGCCTTCATACTGTGGGTTGTCCCCTTCACTCACATCTTGTATTTGTCATAATCCCCACCATCCTTCCCACATACTATAGCAAATATACAGTTATCCCTTCCACATTGTGACTTTACCCCTTGTGATGATATATCACAGGTTGGCATACGAAATTAAATGGGAATCTTGGGGGAGTTTTGTAGAAATTACAGATGACATGCAAAGTCTAGCAGACAACACAGAAAAAGTTTAGAAATTTAGAAATGCATACAATATATGTATAGTATTGTATAAAATCAGCATGTTTTACCTTTAATACCATAATAATTCAAACTTCTTCTCTGGTATGAAGAGTGGACCAAAAAATTTTATGCTGATTTTTCCAGTTCTCAGGGGCTCCATGACCCTAACCCCACCACAATGTGAAAGAGATAACTATATACTATTTTATTTCTTCTTATTATTCCATACTCCTAGCCCCTCAGGCCTCAGGACCACTATTTATGGGCTCTCTACTAGAGAAGTACAGTGATATAGTGGGTGGATAGCTAGCCTCAGAGCCAGAAAGACCTAGGTTCAAGTCTTGTCTCAGGCACACAATGGCTGTAGGACGTTGGGCAAATCATTTAACTTCTCAATGGTCTAGGCAACTCCCTAAAATTAAAAGTTAAAGACAGTTACTGATCTGCCTTACCAGAGGGAGTTTCCTTACCCGGGAACTCCCTATATCAATGAAATGACAAGCCTAGCCCTTATTCTATCATTTGAATAATTTCCCTAGGCTTTAGCATAAGGTTTGATAAAAATCTAGTATGCTGTTCTTGTGTAGAAGATGAAGATATATGGGTTGGTAATAGTTCAATTCAATGGATTCTGAACTGGTTGAATGACTGAAGCTAATGAGTAGTCATTAACATTGATAGAGAAAGAAGTTTCCAGTGGAATTTTTGGTCCTGGGCTATTTAGGATTTTTATCAATGGCTTGAATAAAGTGATAAAGGAAATACTGATCAAATTTTCAGATGATACAAAGTTGAGAGTTAGAGGCAAGATGCAGAAAGATGTTGACAAGCCAGAATACTACTCTAAATTTAATGAAATGAAATGTACTAAGGATAATTGTAAAATCTGTCACCTGGGTTCAATAAATCAATATTATAAGCATAAGATGAAGGGTACACAGTGAGATATCAGTTTGTCTGAAAAAGATCTGGGGGCTTTAGTGGACTGCAAGCTTACCAAGTCAATAGTGTGTTATAGAAATAAAGCAAGCTAATGCAATCTTGGGCTGCATTGAGATGCATAACTTCCAGAAACAAGGAAATAGCAGAATCTGGGAAATAGATCCTAAGTCTGGAGGGACTTAATTATCCAGACATCTGGTGGTGTTGAATGTCCTTCTTTCTTCTTTGTGCCATAACTAGATAAATTAATAATATACAACAACTGTCTTCAAGTATTTGAAGGGCTGCCATGTGGAGGAGTGATTATTCTTAGTCTCTTTAGCTCTAGAAGGAAGAAGCAGGAACAATAGGCAGATGTTGCAAAGAGGCAAATGTATACTTAATGGAAGAAAAACTTCCTAATAATAATAGTTCTCCCGAAGTGGAATTCAGTTCCATTCAATAAGTATTTATTAAGCACCTATTAAATGCCAGGCATTGACAGGCACTGGTTTTGCAAAGACAAAAAACAAGCTATCAAGGAACATGTGTTTGATTGGGGTAAGGCTATCCATCCATCCATCCATTCATCTATAGTCTTTGTCTGTCTATCTATCCATCCATCTATCCATCCATTCATCTATCTCTATCTATCCATCCATCTGTCTGTCTATCTATCTTTCTATCTGTCTGTCTGTCTGTCTGTCTACCTATCTATCCATCTATATATAATTAAATACAAAATGTGCTTCAAGGATTCTGAGTGGAACCATGGGATAGTAGATTAGCACTGCCTTCCAAATAAAGGAATGAGGGGCAGCTAGGTGGTGCAGTGGATAGAGCACCAGCCCTGGATTCAGGAGGACCTGAGTTCAAATCTGGCCTCAGACACATAACACTAGCTGTGTGACCCTGGGCAAGTCATTTAACCCCATTGCCTAGCCAAAATAAAAGAAAAGAAAAGAATGGTAATGTTGACTTAATTATCAATCCCTGACCAAGAAGTAAAGGAAAGATTATCCATGCTTGGCAGCTGGAGGACAGCTGGTGAAGCCTGGTGCTAGTCAGTGGTCAGTGTAATCCTGAGGTTTGGCTAGATATATAGGAATGGGGCATGTTTGAGGTATTTGACTGTCATTAGATACCTCAGGAGGTAGTTGAGTTCACCTCTACTGGAAATTTTCCAAAAGGCTGGATGATATGTCATGTTGTTAATTCTTGGCAGTGCCTGGTACGTAGTAGGTTCTTAAATGTTTATTGAATTGAATTGTTGAATTGTTGACATGAGACAGGCTGTGAGATTACTTGTCCATCGCATTAGGGTGGTAATTCTTTTGGGGTATTAGTTGGCTAGGTGTCCATTGAGGTTCCTTCCTACTGTGAAATTCTGTGATTCTGTAATGTAGTTTCTGGTCATGGATCTGCCCCTAAATATCTGCATGCCCTTTAGTGACTTCCCTCTAAGCCTCAGGATCTCCCTCTGCATAATTACAGGAGCTGAGCTAGATGATCTCTAAGGCCCCTTCTGGCTCTAGCATCATGTTATTGAATAGACCAGGAACTCCTATCCCACCAGTCCTGAACACAAAACTACAGAGATCACAGATACTCATGATTTAGGTATGCTGAACTGAACAGAAACTGATCCTATAACTTTTTATCATCACTTCCTCAGTATGGAGCAAGGACTCAACCAAAACTAACATGAAGTTACTGGGCTTTCCTCATGACCTCAAACCTCTCTCCTTTGGCTTATCTTCCTGAAAGAAAAAGCCAATTCTACCTTAATCCTTCCCTCCTCCACAAAAAAAAAAAAGAATTACATGGCCTGGGGAGCCGCACCCGTTGGGATTCCTACTCCACCTAGTAATCTCCTCTCTCTTTCCACTGTGACTTCTAGAATCCTCCTCTGTTGTGATACAATGGAAAGATGGCTTGATTTAGAGTGAGAGAACACAAATTCAAATGTTGGCTCTGCAATTTATTACCTGTGTGACTTTGAGTGTGTCATTTCCTTGTTCTGTTGCCAGTCAACTCTTCCAGTCAACCAGCTTTGAAGTCTTGGACTCTTTTCCTAAGCCAAAGCAAGGTCCTGTTAGTGAGAGATCTCACATCTACCTCTTAGTAATTGAGAAAATTCTCATTTCTTCTGTTATACCGAGAAATGAGCGAGTTGACCACCCAAGCTAATTTTAAATTGTGGACTTTATTAGCGCGCGGCTGCCAGGGATATTCACATCCAAATCAAGCAGCCCCCATCAGGGGTTGAGCTAGGGTTTATATAGGGAGTATACAGGACAGGGAGGGGGATGGATCTTTGAAGTCTGGCTGGTCAAGGACACCCTTCTCCCTCTGTGTAGATATGATAATGCTCTGCAAACTTTCCTGAGCAGCCAGATAAGGGTCTTGCTAAGGAATTTGGAGTTTTCCAGAGATATGATCTGAGGGCTAGGACCTGAGCAGCCAGATAAGGATCTTGCTGAGGCCCATGCATGAATACTGCTAGGCACAGCGTCCTTGGGCTGGGGAGTGGTTGTTAGAGATAGTGTTTCTAAGACTAGGGAGGCATTTTGGGGCAAAAGTATAAGCACAAGCATCATTACAGGTCAGGGATCACACAAACCAGACCAGGTGTCCTGGTTTCTGGTATAAACATAATTATCTAAAGCCATTGTATTGCAAGTTTTCTTATCCATTTGCTTTGGAGGTATGGGCTGTGCTTAAGCCATGCAGGAGTACATTTCACTATTGTTTAGATTTAGGAGGAAAGAGGTCTGGGGCAAGATTAAGCAGCAACTTCTGCTTTCCGTTGCCTAAAGGGCCCTACTACCTAAATGGTAAAATAATGTTCTGCATTACACTTCCAGCTAAGCCATAATCAGGATATGGCTTATACATGTATATAACAATGGCTTATATGCATATAATCATATACATTTGTCTGATAAACACAAAACGGCTCTCAAGTCTGAGACTTGTCAGCTTCAAGAGTACTTCAAAGTACTCCTGCCTGTCATATGCAAATTAGATGCTGAGAAATAGAATGATGTCATCATCTTTACACAAGTAAGCACCTTGACTCTGCAAGCTGCTTTCTTAAGTGGTTTTCTTTTTCAAACACTCAACTTCATTTTGTTATTGTTGTTTATTTTTTCACTTAGCAAAATTATCAAAATCTGAAAGAGGCATCCCTTTACACAAATCTGAGGTTTGGATTAGGTGGTCACTGAGGTTTCTTCTGGCTCTGCACCTATGCTGCTTAATATTTTCCTTTCACACTCTTTCCATCATCTAGTGCTCCCTGAAATCTAACTTTCTCCCAAAAGTTGACAGCTTTTGACATCCTTTCTGAGTCTGGTTGCTCCTTCTGTCATAGCCCCTTTTATATGGGGCCAGGAGAAGGATATGGCACATTATTTGGATCCTGTTTCCACTTTCAGACCATCCCTCTGCCACCATTGCTAAGTCAGCGCTTCTCTTTCTTTAAAGTTCATCCTGTCCTGTCCAGATCCTTGTTGTTGTCATGCATTGACCTCTAGGTCTTGTCCTTTTGTCTAGGTCTTCTCCTTTGCCATTATTGGCTCACATTTCCTTCTCCACCACAACCCTTGCCTCTTCAAACACTCTGGCCTCCCAGTTCTTCAACTCTCATGACCCCTGTCTACAGCTTTTCTGAACAACACACCATAAATGCCACATACTCACACATGTTCACGTCACTTCCTGCTCAACTGAATTTGTGTCGGGTGCCAGAATTCCTAATGATGGCTTGGGGCAGGGTGTGGTGGGCATCATAATGAAGTCACAGCTCCATCTCCATGTTCAAACTCTTAGTTGCCTTCCCTTTGCTCTGTCATCCAGGTCAAATGTTTTGCTTCAACTCCCAGACTTCACCCTCATATTCAACCTCACTGATTATCTAATCATCTAATCTCACTGGATTACACTCACTAACTGTAATTGCAGGCTCTTCTTTTTCATCCTCTCCTTCCATGAACTCTGCTATCAAATGCATGTCTCTGCTGCTCCCAAAACACCAAGCCATATACCAGCCCTGAGGTTACTTTCTGATGCTTCTAAATATCTCTCTTGAACCTGCAAATACCTGCTGTAAAGTCCACCTCCATTCACTCCAGGAGATGGAAAAGGAACCTTCTGTGAAGACATGAACTGTCTTCTCTTTTTTTAAATGTATTTATTTTTAGTTTTCAACATTCACTTCCACAAGATTTTGAGTTCCAAATTTTCTCCTCATCTCATCCCTCCCCCCACCCCAAGATAGCATGCATTCTGAATACCCCTTCTCCTAATCTTCCCTTCCTTCTATCACCCCCTACTTCTCTTATCCCCTTTCCCTTCTGTTTTCCTATAGGGCAGGATAGATTTCTATTCCCATTACCTCTGTATCTTCTTTCCCAGTTGCATGTGAAAACAATTGTTAACATTTGTTTTTAAAACTGTGGGTTCCAAATTCTCTCCTTTCCTCCCTTTCCACCCACTCATTGAGAAAGCAAGGTACTTAATACAGGTTATACATGTGTAGTCATGCAAAACACTTCCATAGTAGTCATATTGTGGAAAACTATATTTTCCTTCATCCTATCCCACCCCCCATTTATTCTATTCTCTCTTTTGACCCTGTCCCTCCTCAGAAGTGTTTGCTTCTGATTACCCCCTCCCCCAATCTGCCTTCCCTTTCAGCATTTCCCTCTCTCTTATCCCCTTACCCCCTATTTTCCTGTAGGGCAAGATAGATTTCCATACCCAATTGAACGTGGATGTTATTCCCTCCTTAAGCCAAATCTGATAAGAATAAGATTCACTCATTCCCTCCCACCTTCCTCCACTTTCCCTCTATGGTAAAAGCTTTTTCTTCTCTGTTTTATGTGACATAATTTATCCCATTCTACCTCTCCCTTTCTCTTCTCTCAGTATAATCCTCTCTCACCCCTTAATTTTATTTTTAGATATCACCCCTTCATTTTCAACTCACCCTGTGCCATCCATCTATCTATCTATCTATCTATCTATCTATCTATCTATCTATCTATCTATCTATCTTTTTCCCTCCAACTATCCTAATATTGACAAATGTCTCATGAGTTAAAAATATTATTCTTCCATGTAGGAATGTAAAAAGTTCAACTTTAATATGTTCCTTAAGATTTCTCTTTTCTGTTTACCTTTTCATGCTTCTCTTGAGTCCAGTATTTGAAAGTCAAATTTTCTATTCAGCTCCGGTCTTATCATCAAGAATGCTTGAAAGTCCTCTATTTCATTGGATTTCTATTTTTCCCCCTGAAGGATTATACTCAGTTTTGCTGGATAGGTGGTTCTTGGTTGTAATCCTATCTCCTTTGACTTCCAGAATATCATCTTCCAAGCCCTCCAGTCCCTTAATGAAGAAGCTACTAAAACTTGTGTTATCCTGATTGTGTTCCCACAGTACTTGAATTGTTTCTTTCTGGATGCTTGTAATATTTTCTCCTTGACCTGGGAACTCTGGAATTTGGCATTCCTAGGGATTTTCCTTTGTGGATCTTTTTCAGCAGGTAATTGGTGTATTCTTGCCATTTCCATTTTACCCTCTGGTTCTAGAATAACAGGGCAGTTTCCCTTGATAATTTCTTGAAAGATGATGTCTCGGCTATTTTTTTTTATCATACCTTTCAAGAAGTCCAATACTTTTAGAATTATCTCTCCTGGATCTATTTTCCAGGCCAGTTGTTTTTGCAACGAGATATTTCACATTGTCTTCTATTTTTTTCATTCTTTTGGTTTTGTTTTACAATTTCTTGATTTCTCATGAAGTGATTAGCTTCCATTTGCTCCATTCTAATTTTTAAGGAAGTATTTTCTTTAGTCAGCTTTTAGATTTCCTTTTCCATTTGACCAATTCTGCTTTTTTAAGGCATTCTTCTCCTCATTAGCTTTTTGGACCTCTTTTGCCATTTGGGTTAGGCTATTTTTAAGATGTTATTTTCTTCAGTATTTTTCTTGGGTCTCCTTTAGCAAGCTGTTGACTTGTTTTTCATGATTTTCTTGCATCACTCTTATTTCTCTTCCCAATTTTTCCTCTACTTCTCTTACTTGCTTCTCAAAATCCTTTTTAAGCTCTCCCATGGCCTGGGACTGATTCATATTTTTCTTGGAGGCTTTGGATGTAGGAGCTTTGACTTTGTCGTCTTCTTCTGGTTGTATGTTTTGATCTTCTTTGTCACAAAGTAATATTCTATAATCTGACTTTTTTGTGCTGTTTGCTCATGATCCCAGACAATTGTTTGACTTTTAAGCTCTGTGTTAAGGTAGGGGTCTGCTTCCAGTGTGGAGAATGTAATGTCCCAAGCTTCAGGGGTTTTGTGCAGCTGTTTTCAGAGATACTTGTAGGGACCTGTAAATTTTCAGTTCTTCCAAGGTGGTATGATCAAAATCAAGGTATTTACTCCTTTCCTGGCCTGAGCTCTGGTCTTTCAGTGACCAGCCACAAGCAGTCTTTTCTCTTCTGGAACTGTGAGGAGGGTTTCTTCTCCACGGCCACTACAAGCTCCACTGTGCCAGTGCTCCTCCTCACCCCAGGACTGCTACCCCGAACTGTGACCCAGATCCAAGCATGGGCAAAGCAAGAGATTCCTGCCTCAGCACCAGCAAAGAGATCCCTGCAATCCCCCTCTGATCAGTCGCTCAATCTCCCCTCCATCTGTGGGCTGAGAGAGCTCTAGAAGCAATCAACACCTCAGGTCTGCATGGGGAGTTGGGCTGGACTAAGCTCCTCTCTCACCCCAGTCCGACAGACTTTTCCTACTGACTTTCAAAACTGCCACAGCTTCCCGTTATTCATCCCCTGAGGCCTGCTCCAGGTTCACTGAGGCACCCACGCTGAACTGTGCTCCTCTGCCAGCCTGGGACAATGTAACTTTCCAATCAACCATCCAGGTTGTCTTGGGCTGGAAATTTGTTTCACTCTGTCTTTTTGTGGGTTCTGCTGCTCTAGAATTTGTTTAAAGCCATTTTTACAGGTGTTTGGAGTGGTTTGGGGGAGAGCTCAAGCAAGTCACTGTTTTTACTCCATCATCTTGGCTCCATCTGTCTTTTCTTTTTGCCCCTCATCCCCACAGCATCCAAAGTTCCTAGTATCTTTGTAAGAAAGGTACTTTATGGAAAAAAAATCACTATGTTCCCTAGTATACCTAGTCCCAGAGCATTGTCACATACTGCAGAAGATTCTAGGAATTCAGTCCCAATAAAAGGATGTATCTGGGTGCAGGGTGACTGCATTATGATGTCAATGGATATAATGGATTTCAAAGAAAAGGGAAGAGAGATGAACTGGTAGCATAAGAATGACCATGACCTGGAAGCCAGATAATCCCTGAGACCAACTGAGTAAAAAACTACACTGAGGTGCAGAATAAGTATTGTTCACAAGAATAAATGCCCGAATTTGAAATGATTTTAGAAAGTTCTAGGTCATCTGGTAGAGAAATACAAAGAAGGGATGGCTACCTACCCAAATCTTTGTGAGGTTATATTATATAGAGTTCAGACAAGGACATAAGAACATTTGCTTGATTGGCCTTACATATAGTTTCCAAGAGTAAAGGAGCTTGAGATATATATCAGCAGGTAAGTCAATCAAATTTGGGGAACCCAAAATGCAAGCTTTGAGTGGACCCAAAATAAGTACTAGGTGGGATCTAAGCATTCCTTACAACCATCCACTTTCCCTAAGCAGGGCTTCTTAAACTTTTCCCACCACAAACACGTTTTGGCAGCATTCTTCTCAGTTGCATGGCCTGAGGGCATACATAGTACAAAGTGCATGCTTTGTGTCCAGAACCAAGGCTGCAGTGAAGTTGCCCAATGCAATGCAAGCAAACACTGCCAGAAACAACCTCAGATTCATTACACATTTGATTTTTCATTAATTTTTGGTCGTTGGGAGTTCAGAAACCTTTTACTGTTGCCAAATTTTTTGCAACTCCATATGGGGTCATGACCCAGTTTAAGAAGTACTGCAAAGTGTCTCTGAGGTCAGCCTGACCTGTACAATGAGATTTTTGGGTTAAATAAATTTTCTAGCCACATAAAGCTAGGTTCAAATGGTATTAATAAAAGGTAAATAATACTACACACAAGTATGCTTATTAGAGGTACCAGTTGAGATATGTACTGACTAAAATACCTTTTAGTAGCACTTTTTGAGTCATAACAGTAAAATTATCTGTGCTGATGGTTGAAACCCTTCCCTACCCCTGAGATTTGTTTTGGAGGAGATTGTTTCCCAAATACTGTCATAGAAGTGGGGGTGAAGTTGCCCCAGCAACAATTCAGAAATGAGTGTTGAGAGTAATTTATTGCTTTACTTTGCAATTCTGTCTTGATTAAATATTTTACTATTTCAATGAATATTCCATTTTAATGCAATTCAAGTTCCTTGCCTGGTTTGTTAGTATAGCAAAAAGTCAATATAGTGCATGTTAGAAATTGCCACCAAAGCTGGTGGGGGCATGGAGCAAGACAAGCCAGTGATTTGCCAGTTGAGTTAAATTATAATCATTTAAAATATTCTGACATCTGGATCCCAATTCATGTGAATCCAGAGATAAGCTGTGCATAGATTTCACTAACCAGCTATGAGCCTATACTCTCTGATTGTTTCTAACTGCAAATAATGAGATCCATTTGTAAAGCCAAAAAGATAACTACAAAGAAGTCAGAGAGGATACAAACAGAATCTTTAAAATGACAAATGGGGAATTATTCACCAAATCCCAACATACAAGGACAAAAGGCCTTCGAAATTTGAATAAATTAGATTTAGGACAAAAAAGTGGAAGTATAACTTTACACCGCAGACAGTCAAGGTTCATGACTCATAACTTCAAGTAAACGTGAATGAATATATGACATCATTCATGAATTGGCTGTAAATTGTTTCTAAGAGGAAGTAGGATACACTTTACATCTAAGATTCAATTCAGAGAAGATACAATTGTATCTCTCAAGGCACGTCCCTGGGAACCCCTCTCAGCAATTCTCTGTACAGCATCCCCCACCAGTGTCTATCCCACGTCTGATTAGATGCTTCTGATGGTGAGAAACTCACTACCTCACAGTCCATTGCTGGACAGTTCTCAATATACTCTCTTTAAGGAGTTCTTATCCTTTCTTGGGTCAGAGACCCCTTTGGCAATCTGGTGAAGTCCATGGGTCCCTTCTCAGAATAATGTTTATTTTTAAAATTTTAAAATATTTTTTCAAACATACAATAAAATTATCTTGTAGCTTTCTTTTCCTCCCCACCCTCCCGTTCACCTCACCCTAGAGATGGCTGTAATATCTTAAAATGAATAAAATAAAATGTATAAGAGGTAGTGCAGTGGATAAAGAGTCAGGCCTGGGGTCAGGAAGATTCATTTTCCTGAGTTCAAATCTGGCCTCAGACATTTACTGGGCTTAACCTGTTTTCCTCAGTTTCCTCATCTGTAAAATGAGTTGGAGAAGGAAATGGCAAACCACTCCAGTATCTCTGCCAAAAAAACCCCAAATAGGGTCATGAAGTGTCAGACATGATTGAAACAACTGAACAACAACACAAATAATAATAGCTAACATTTATATAGTATTTCCTATGTGTCAGGCACTGTGCTAAGTGCTTTAAAAATATTACCTCTTCGATCTTAACAACAACCCTGAGTGATAGGTGCTGTTGTTATCCCCATTACAGATGAGAAAATTTTATGGAGGTTAAGTGACTTGCCCAGGGTCACACTAGTGAGTGTGTGAGGTCAATTAAACTCAGATCTTCCTGAGTCTAGGCTCTGCACTCTATTCCACTATGCCACCATTATGTTGAAATAAAGATGTAGATTTTTTTTCATCCAAGTTGACAGACACACTGAAATCTAACCATAAACCCATGGCGGGGGCGGGGAGGGGTAGAGGCATATGTAGCCATGGATGTCAGTTTAAGCACCCCTGGCTCAAGATGTTATCCGTCTCAAGCAGGCTTATGCTAGGAGGTAAATGACAGCTGAAGACTAATAGTGTAGTAGAGAGAGTTCTGAAGGTCCTGGGGTTAACAGAATAGACCTACAGTTTAGAAAATGAGGGAAAAGAGACAGAGATTCAAAGTAGAGCCGAGAGGAGACAATGGCAGAGCTATATTTAGCAACTCTGCTAGCTAGGGCAAACATCGAGTAATGCATGGCATGGAAGTTGCCCCTGGATCAACTTTTTAGACCAATTTAGTGGGAGGGCAAGAAACCTTGGAGAGAGACCTTAAACTTCTGGATATAAGAATGGAGACCCTGTAACTCCACTTGCTGTCAAGGCCACTGCTAGAGGTGGCAGCAGGGATGGACCAGATTGTAAATGAGCTCATAAAGGGGTGCGGGAGGAAGCACCATCTGGTAGCCTCCCATTTTATTTAATTATTCTTAGTAATTAGGTGTTAAGCTCAATTGTTCCTACCTGCAGAGAAAGTACAGGTACTGTCTGGCCATCTAAGACTTGGTGCCCCAGGGGCAAAGATGACTGAGATGTAGATTATGTAAATTGAACAAGGCTCTGCCTACCTGTTTTACCTGGGGCTGCTCAGCTGTAGGTAGTCTGTGCTCTCATGTTGTATCCCCACCTGTATGATCATTGTCTTGAAGACAGCTGGTCTGCAGAGCAGCTGTCATTGAGTTTCCTGGAAGGCCATCAGAATCTAATCCAGGCTAGGCTAAAGGGATGAATCTAAAAAACAGAATTTTGTAGAGATCCAATTAAAGCCTTATTCATGAGTTTTTAAAAAGATCAGATGTGGAAGTTCAGCAAAGATTGGAGATACTTGGCTAGATAACAGGTAGGGCAAATAAGATCCCTTAGTTAATAGACTACAGACTCCATGTTGCTGGTGTGACCCAACCACCAAAAAGGTCACGTGATAATGTTAGAAGGCATTGACAGATTGAAAAGAAAACATCCAGAATATTATGTACATTTCTGGACTGGAATTTAGAGGAGAGAACATATCAACTGGATTCTGTCCAGAGTAAGGTGAACAGGATGGCAAAGGGACTTGGAAGCATGGTTCGCAAATTTGCCTAGACCCTGATGAAGTGAATTCCTATGCTACTTGGATGCTGCCTGTTTCTATTGGGTTGGAACCAGTCCATATAGCTTATATAACGGTAACTTCCAATAGTGTGAATTCAGATACACATGACTATTTCATGGTATTCATTATTTATATTAATCAGAATCTGTCAGTTGATGGAAATGGGAATTTTTAGCTTGGAGGACAAAAGATTCGGTATGATGGGGAGCATAACTGTTTCGAGGATGTTCATGGGGAAGGGAAATTGGACTTCTTTTTGGCCCTAGAGGCCAGGACTAAAAAGTTGCAAATTACATTTTTATAGGAGAAAAAACCTTACTTATAATTAGAAAGGTACAAAAATAAAATTATCTCCAGAGGTAGTAGACTGTACATCACTGAAGATTTTCAAGCAGAGGCTGGAGGACCACTCACTTAGAATATATGGAGGGAATCCTTGATCAGGTGTGATTTAGACCAACTGACTTCTGAGATCCCTTTAAATGCTGAGATTCTGTGAATCTGTGATTCAGAGTATTACGCTGTCTGTGGCTGACAGCTTCGGGCGGGGACAGGATGGGAGGAGATGAATTCTGAAGAAAGTTTCTTCTCCCTGTAAGTCCATCATCCCATGATTCTATGAAATGTTGTTGTTCAGTGGTATCTGACTCTTCATGACACTGTGGACCATACTATCCATGGGGTTTTCTTGGCAGATACTGGAGTAGATTAAGACAAACAAAGGTTAAGTGTATTGCCCAGGGTCACACAACTGGTAAGCTTTGAGGTCAAATTTGAATTCAAGTCTTCCTGACTCCCAGCACAGGGCTCTATCCACTGACCCACCAAGCTGCCTCCTAGGCAAACAGAGTTTAAGTAATTTGCCCAGGGCTACACAGTAGTAAGTGTCTGGAATTGGATTTAAACTCAGGTCGTCCTGACTCCAGCCACTGAACCATCTAGTTAACTATGTATTCAATTCCATTTTGCAAATATTTGTTAAATACCCGCTCTATGCAAAGCAATAGGGATATAATGACAAAGCTAAATAGTCCCCGACCTGGAGAAGCTTATAGACCAAAGTCTGGATCCTCAGGAAAGAACCCCAAACCTAAGAGAGAGGGTAGAGAGAAAAGAGGGCAATTAATACCATTTGGTCACATAAGAATTCATATTTCTAAAACCCTTCATGCAATAGCATTTTCACAATAGGAAGTGATTACCTCATTTATAGATGAGGAAAACTGAGGCTTACAGAGATAGTCACTTGCCTACAGACACACAGCTAGAAAACCCAGTGGCTCCCAGTCCTGTGCCGTTTCTCCATATTAGATCTCTTCCCAAAAAAGAAGAAAGCTCTGGCTTGGAAACAGGGCAGAAATTAAAGTGATGAGACCAAATTGGGACCCCAGAAGGAGAGATGAGTCATAAAGAAAGAAATCAGAAGGAGATTCCCCAAGTCATTAAGCCTCATTCATGTCATGATTCCTCAGATGGGCTCAAAGACTATTAGCAAGATTAAAAGAGAGCTCAGGCCCCTTAGGAAATCCACCCCTTAGGAAATCCAGTTTCAGTATAGTAACAATAGCTATCACTGGGGTTGTGGGGAGGGGGGAAAGGGAGGGGAAAAGATAGAGAGAAGAGAGAGAGAGAGAGAGAGAGAGACAAGAGACAGAGACAGAGACAGAAAGACAGACAGACAGAGAGAGAGAGAGAGAGAGAGAGAGAGAGAGAGAGAGAGAAGAGAGAGAGAGAGACACACACACACAGACAGACAGAGAGCCTATTCTCAAAATGGTCACAATCTAATGAGAGAGATAATATGTAAACAACTATGTGCAAACAAGATATAGGGCGAATTGGAGATAATCTCAGAAGGAAAGCACTTAGATTATGGAGAACTGGGTAAGCTTTCTCATAGAAGGCAAGATTTTAGCTGAGACTTGAAGGAAGTCAGGGAAATTAGGAAGCAGAAATGAGATGGGGGAGTTTACCAGGCATGGGAGAAAGCCAGTGAAAACACCCAGAATCTACAGATGGAGTGTCCTATGTGAGGAACAACAAGAATGCCAGGGGCATTGGTTTACAAAGTGAGGAAGAGTGAAATATAAGAAGACTGGAAAGGTGGGAGGGGACTAGGTTACAAAGGGCTTAGAATACTGAAGAGAGAATCTTCTATTTAACTAGGGAGGTGATAGGGAATCACTGGAGTTTATTGAGTGGGGAGGTAAATTGATAAATAATTTATGAAATTATGAAATGGGGGTAGGCATGGCTGGTTCTTTGGGTACTCTCTAGGAAAGACCATGATGGCAGTGGGAAGTGAGGATTGTAGTCACGTTAATAAGGGACAGAGGGTGTCAGGGCAAATGGTACAGAAAGTAGAGACAGATGGTGAAAAGCAACACAGAGGCAGACAGCATGGGGGCAAGGGATGGGTGGTAGAGGAAAGCAGGCAATGACAGAGGAGGATGTTGGGAGGGGGAGAGGCAGAAAGTATCATTCACAAAAACATAGATTAGAGTTGGGAGTACTAAGGAACATGGACCAGATGGAAATGGAAGAAGGCTCAGGGGACAGCAGTTTAAGTTCTCATTTTTTTTCTTTTTTAATATATAAATTTATTTATTTTTAGTTTTAAACATTTACTTCCACAAGATTTTGAATTCCATATTTTCACCCCATCCTGCCCCTCCCTCCACCCCAAGATAGTATGCATTCTGAATGCCCTTTTCCCTAGTCTGCCCTCCCTTCTATCTCTCCCCCATCCTTCTCTTATCCCCTTCCCCATCTATTTTCCTGTAGGGCAGGATAGATTTCTGTACCTCATTTCCTGTATTTCTTGTTTCCCAGTTGCATGTGGAAACATTTTTTTTAAACATGTGTTTTTAAAACTTTGGGTTCCAAATTTTCTCCCTTCCTCCCACCCCACCCACCCTCAGTGAAAAGGCAAGCAAGTCAATACAGGCCATACATGTGCAGTTATGAAAAACACTTCCATAGTAGACATGTTGTGAAAAACTAACTCTATTTCCCTTAATCCTATCCTCCCCCCATTTATTCTATTCTTTCTTTTGACCCTGTCCCTCCTCAGAAGTACTTCCTTCTGATTACCCCTTTCCCAATCTGCCCTTCTCTTATCATCCCCTGCTCTCTTGTCCCTTCCTCCCCTATTTTCCTGTGGTAAGACAGATTTCCATACCCAATTGAGTGTGTATGTTATTCCCTCCTTAAGCCAAATCCTATGAGAATAAGATTCCCTCATTTCCTCTCACCTTCCCCTGTTTCCCCTCCACTGTAAGAACCTTTTCTTGTCTGTTTTGTGCAAGATAATGTACCCCATTCTACCTCTCCCTTTCTCCTTCTCCTAGTATAATCCTCTCTCACCCCTTAATTTTTTTCTCCAGATATCACCCCTTCATCTTCAACTCACCCTGTGCCCTCTATCTATCTATCTATCTATCTATCTATCTATCTATCTATCTATCTATCTATACATACATATATTTTTCCCCTCCCACTACCCTAATACTGACAAAGGTCTCATGAGTTATAAATATCATCTTTCCATGCAGGAATGTAAACAGTTCAGCCTTAATAAGTCTCTTATGATTTCTCTTTCCTGTTTACCTCTTCATGTTCCACTTGAGTCTTGTATTTGAAAGTCAAATTTTCTATTCAGCTCTGGTCTTTTCATCAAGAATGCTTGAAAGTCCTCTATTTCACTGAATGACCATTTTTTCCCCTGAAGGATTATACTCAGTTTTGCTGGGTAGGTGATTCTTGGTTGTAATCCTATCTCCTTTGCCCTCTGGATTATATTCCATGCCCTCTGGTCCCTTAATGTAGAAGCTGCTAAATCTTGTGTTATCCTGATTGTGTTTCCACCATACTTGAATTGTTTCTTTCTGGCTGCTTGCAATATTTTCTCCTTGACCTGGGAACTCTGGAATTTGGCTACAATATTCCTAGGAGTTTTCCTTTGGGATCTCTTTCAGGGGAGATCGGTGGATTCTTTCAATTTCTATTTTGCCCTCTGGTTCTAAAATATCAGGGCAGTTTTCCTTGATAATTTCTTGAAAGATGATGTCTAGGCTCTTTTTTTGATCATGGCTTTCAGATAGTCCAATAATTTTTAAATTCTCTCTCCTGGATCTATTTTCCAGGTCAGTTGTTTTTCCAATGAGATATTTCACATTGTTTTCTAATTTTTCATTCTTTTGGATTTGTTCTACTGTGTTGTGATTTCTCATAAAGTCACTATCTTCCAATTGCTCTATTCTAATTTTTAAGGAAGTATTTTCTTCAGTAAGCTTTTGGACTTCCTTTTCCATTTGGCCAATTTTCTTTTTAGGGCATTCTTCTCCTCATTGGCTTTTTGGACCTCTTTTGCCATTTGGGTTAGGCTATTTTTTAAGGTGTTATTTTCTTCAGTATTTTTTTGGGTCTCCTTTAGCAAGCTGTTGACTTGCTTTTCATGATTTTCTTGCATCACTTTCATTTCTCTTCCCAGTTTTTCCTCTACTTCTCTTACTTGCTTCTCAAAATCCCTTTGGAGCTCTTCCAAGGCCTGGGATGGATTCATATTTTTCTTGGAGGCTTTGGATGTGGGAGCTTTGACTTTGTTGTCTTCTTCTGGTTGTATGTTTTGATCTTCTTTGTCACCAAAGTAAGATAATATAGTCTGACTCTTTTTGCGAGGTTTGCTCATGATGCCAGCCAACTACTTGAGTTTTAAACTCTTTGTTAAGGTAAAAGTCTGCTTCCAGTGTGGAGAATGTACTGTTCCAAGCCTCAGGGGTTTGTATAACTGTTTTCATAGATATTTCTAGGGACCTGTAAATTTTCAGTTCTTCCAAGGTGGTGTGATAAGGGTCGAGGTGTTTACTCTTTTCCTGACCTGATCTCTGGTCTTTGAGTGACCGGCCACAAGCAGTCTTTTCTGTCTTGGAACTGTGAGGAGGGTTTCCTCTCCGTCTCCGCCTCCACTACAAGCTCCGCTCCAGTGCTCCTCCTCACCCCAGGACGGCCACTCAGAACTGTGACCCAGATCCAAGCATGGATGAGGCAAGAGATTCCTGCCTCAGCACCAGCAAAGAGATCCCTGTAGTCCCCCTCTGATCAGCCACTTGATTCCTCCTCAGTCTGTGGGCTGGAAGCTCAGGATGCAGCCACCACCCCGCGCACTCTGCTCTCTGTGCTCTGGAATGGCTCTGACCTAGCTCTCCTCTCACCCAAAAAAACAGACTTTTCCCACTGACCTTCTAAGTTGTCTTTGGCGTTCATGGATTGAGGAGTCTGGAAGCCACCACAGCTGCCCATGATTCAGTCCTCTGAGGCCTGCTCTAGGTTCGCCGTGGCCTGTGCGCCCACGCGGAACTGCGCTTGTCTCCCCCCCCCCCAGTGAGATATGCCTTTGAGATCAACCATCCAGGCTGTCTTGGGCTGCAAATTTGTTTTACTCTGTCTTTTTGTGAGTTCTGCTGCTTTAGAATTTGTTTAGAGCCATTTTTTATGGGTATTGGAGGGGTTTGGGGGAGAGCTCAAGCAAGTCACTGCTTTCATGCCGCCGTCTTGGCTCCGCCCCCCTTAAGTTCTCGTTTTTTGTAGATTTTGGTGAGGAATAGAATCTTACCTGCGCCAACTTGGGGGTTAGTTCATTAACATATCCAAATCATCTCAAAGCTGTCAGTAACACTGTAACCTTCAACAAGCCCACATCATCTCAAAATTATCATCACCGTTTTAGCAATCTTGCTGGTCTTTACTACGAACGTTTGGGTTTCTATCTCATAGAACCAAAAGGCCTTGACAACAAAGTCTAGATGGTTTCCTCTGATTCAGCATGTATTGTCAGGACGTGATGCTTGATTAATACATGATAAAAATTGTAAATTATGCTCATTTGTGCATGACTCCCAGGTTCCTCTTTGCAATCTTGCTTCCTGCTATTGCTACGTTGTACTATTTATAAATTTACTTACTAAACAGACTAGAAGAGGGGTGGTCAGAGGTGCGAGTACAAGATACAATTTTAACACAGGAGGTGACAAGATCTGCACTTTAAGAACAATTTGACAGCTGACTGGAGGCTGGTTTGAAGTGTGGAGGGATTTGAAGCAGAGACACCAACTAGCAGGCTATTACTATAGTAGTCTAGACTTGAAGTCATGCAAGCTTGTATCAGGGTGATTGCAGTGTCAGAGGAGAGAAGGGGACATATACTAGAAATGGTTAGATGGTAAAACAACATGGCTTGCCAACTGATTGGACATGGGAAGGGAGAGGTGGGGGGGGGGATTTGAGGATGACATCTAAGTTGATGTTACCAGTTCCTGAGTGACAGGAAGGATGGTGGTATCCTCAACAGTAAAAAGGAAGTTGGAAGGGTTTTGGGGGGGGAAGATAATGGGTTCATGTTAGACATGTTGAGTCGAAGGTGTCTACAGGACATCCAATGTAAGATGTCCAATAGGCAGGTGGAGATGCAAGATCAGAGGTGAGCAAAGAGGTTATGGTTGGATACGTAGATCTGAGAATTATCTATATAGGGATGATCATTGAAACCATGGGAGTTGATGAGATTGCCTCGTGTGAGTCAGGAGTGGAAAAGGATATAGTGACAGAAGGCATCTGGGTGATAAGAGATGAGGAGGAGGGGAAAAGAGATTGTTGGATTGTTGAACCAAAGGCACTGAGCCTCAGTGATGTCTACTCTAATTTTCATTTTATAGAGAAGGAAATTGAGGCCCAGAGAGTGGAAATGGCCTACTAATAAGTGACAATGTTGGAGTCAGGTCTCCTGACTCCAGTTCTAACACTCTTTCTACTAAACCTGTAAAATGTTTTTATAGTTGTGCCTATCTATTCTCAAGAAAGAGGTCAAGGGAATCCAGAAGTTTATTATTTGGTCACCTTAAGAGTTCACATTTCTAACGCACTTTACAAAGCACATTCTTACAATAGGTCTATGATACAGGTAGTGCCAATGTTTTTATTCCTGCTGTACTGATGACGAAACTGAGGCCCACAGAGGTAGACATGTAGCTACTAAGCGGTAGAGTTGGGAGTCAAGTTTACTTAAGAAAAAAATAAGAACTTTAGGAAGAGATAGAAATAAACAAGGCGATTTTATTACTGTGCTCAATTTAACATGTATATGTACATATTTTAAATTATATAACAGAACTTCAGTGTTCATAAACAACCATATTTCTGATTTGTGTAAATTGAAATGTCTATGTTTGTTGATATCTAAGTTTATAATAAAATATACAATTTTTAAAACATTTTTTTAAAAAAGGAAATGTCTTCATTTCAATAAAGAATAAATAAATAAATCCCAGCACAGCCCTAGATACATGATAGGCATTCAGTGTCATAGACTCTTCAACAATCAGTTAATCCTTATTAAATGTAGATTTAGAGCTGAAAGGGACCTCAGACACCATCTAGTTCCATGCTACCACTTTACAGAGGAGGAAACTGAGGCCCAGAGACATTAACTTACTTCGTCAGGGAAGTAAAGGAACTGGATCAATTTGAATTCATTTTCCAGCTGATCTTACAGAATATTCAAGCAGAAAGTAATTATACATAATTGACATTTATATATCATTTTAAGGCTCATTACATCTATCATAAGTTAAGTAATAAATATTTATTATTTATAAATTGTTATTGTTAATGCTTAATATTAATACTTAATAAGTATGTACTATGTGCCAGGCACTGTGCTAGGCTCTAGGGGTGCAAATAAAAAAGAGGAATGAACCTTACCCTCATGGAGCTTACAGTGTATTGGAATATTACAACATGTTCACAGAGAAGTAAATACAAGATATAAATAAATACATATGGGAGAGAGATGAAGGTAAAAAAAACTGAGGAAATCAGGAAGGTTCTTTTTAAGGAGATAACAATTGAGCCTTGTATCTTAGCCCATATAATCCTCAAAAGAACCCTGTGAGGTAGGCATTGTAAGCATTATTGTCCTCATTTCACAGATAAGGAAACCTTAAAGACCAGAGAGTCATAGTATTGTAAGTTTAGAGCTGGAAGGTACCTTTTGGTCATCAAGCCCAATCCCCCCACTTTACAGATGAGTAAACAGAGGCCTAGAGAAGTTACCAGAAGCCTTTGAGTTATTTGCCTAGGTCACATAACTTCCAAGAAACTGAGGCAGGATTGGAACCCAGACCTTCCTGACTCCAAGTCTAGTACCCTATCAACTAGTCCAAGCCCTAGTTTTATGGATGAAGAAAGTGATATTTAGAGAGGTAAGGTGACCTGTTTATTCAATAGTCACACATATTTTCCTAGACTCAAAAGACCTTCAGGTAAAGGAAAATTCAAGAGGCATTAATGATAGGCACAAAAAGTCTCAATTGACAGACAAAAATAGGGAGTGGCTTATCAAAATAAAAAATAAATAACACATTAAAAAGTTAAAAAAGAAACAATAAATATGCAATATTAATAAATACATGCCCATAAAGAAAAGAGGGCAACAGAAGCATCCTATCAAACCACAGTACTCAGCTGTAGGGACGTGGAGCATAGGACTGCTCCATGATCATGAATCGTGGAGGGAATAAATAATCAGGTTATTATATGATGAAGGAAAGAGCCATTCTGAACTAGCTCAATGAGTGTTATTGAGGGGGCTGGACCCCCATGGAGGGATTAACACAAAGGTGGCCACTTTTTTCTTCTTATTTAGTCCTTTCCATCCATCTCAGGAGGATGTCCAGCTCTCCCAGGGCTTTCACCACAGCCTTCTGACCATCTAGCTAAAAGGAACCAGAAAGGTCTGTGGTGAATACCAAATGATAATGACAATAACATTCCTAGAGTACTTCAAATACTGAATCTGAGGAGACAGGGAAGGGATTTCATTAGTGATATCATTGGCATGGAGATAGAATGCAAGCTCCTGATGGGCAGGAATTGCTTCATTCTTGTCTTTGCAGCCATAGCATATAGCATAGTGCCTGACACACATTAGGCACTTAATGTTTGCTGATTGGTTGGAGAATTCCCAGTAGATGTGGATAGGAAACTAGATGATGCAGTGGATAGTGCACAGTGGATAGAGGCCTGGAGTCAGGAAGACCCGAGTTCAAATCTAGCCTCAGACACATCCTATCTGTGTGGTCCCTGGCAAGTCACTTAATCTCTCTCTGCCTCAGTTTCCTCAACTTTAAAATAGGGGGAAATGCTAGCACCTACCTCACATGATTGTGAGGATCAAATGAGATAATATTTACAAAGCTTAGCATAATACTCAGCACGTAGAAGACATTTAATAAATGCTCATTTCCTTCCTTCCTCTAATTTATATTATTAAAGAGCTGCCTGAGGCAATTAGAGGAAAAGTGACTTGCCCAGGGTCACATAGACAGCAGGGAGGTATGTGACTTGCCAATGGTCATAGGATCATAGATTTAGAACTGGAAGAGACCTTAGGGCTTATCTCATCCAACCCCCTCGTTTTACAGAGGAGAACACACAGCTGGTAAGTATCAGGCCGATCATCTGAACTCAGGTATCCTGTATGGAGACCCACCACTGTTGCCATGAAATCACTTTATCAATAATTACATCAGATAGAAGCAATCTCTGACCTCCTCCTCACCTAGTTTTCCTCCTCCTCCACCCACTCCTCCCAGGTAGATCTGATGGAAACCCGAGAGCAATGCATTCTGTTTTGAGCCTCCTTGTGGAAGCTTTGAAAGCAGTCCTATCTCAAAAGATAAGATACTTCGGGTTGTGTTTTTAAGATGAGTGTGAGGCTGTGGGATAGGAGTTGGGGTGAGGGATTACATCTCCAGTTTCAGCAGCTGGACTGGAAGCTGTCAATATTGCTCTGGTGATTTTGATGGTAGCCCTGTCCTCTTTTCAACTTGTGGACAGGAAAATGATCAGCTCTAGGAGCTCTTTCACAAACGGATGGCCAGCCCTTGCAGAGCTTCGACAGGTAAGGCCTTGCTTAGAGGCGAGGGAAGAAAAACCATCACCTCTGGAGACCTCTTGTGGCTCCAGGACCATAGGATTCTATAGCAGTAGAAGCGGTCAGCCTTTGTATGAATTTAGCCCAGGAAAGAAACCCAACCTCACCAATGCCAACTATGTATTTTACCTTCTCAAAGTGACTCAGAATGTGGGCGTATTTCTCCTTTGCTTCCTCCCCACAGTGGCATATCAGATGGTCATGCTGTAAAGGTTACAAACAGGGATATATTTCATTAGAAAATGCTGTCAGAAATGGTATGGGTGAGAATTATTGCTTCCCTACATGTCAACCTCCAGGCATAAAGGGACTTCCTTCCTCATGACAAATGCTTTCAGAATTTCTCCTTTCTGACTCTCCAGAACCCATGGGGTTGGGGCTAAGGGGGAGAAGGATGAATAATCTGCAAAGTGCCAGCCTAGAGACTCAGCAATTTGGTTTCTTTTTTGGAAGAAAGTGAGCTCAGCTCACCTCCCAGTCCCCTGTTGGTCCTACCCTCCTCTCCTCCCACCACAAGCCAGATCTGCCTGGATGACCAAATCCTGTTCAGACGCGGGTCTGTTTCCTGTGACTCAGCCATGTGATACCTTTATGATACCCAAGCAGTCAAGGTGATTGCTGATCACTTGCTTTGGATGCAGGTTGCATTGATATATGCTTCTGTGTACCACCTAGTAAAGGAGTATGAGTAGATTCTTAGAAATCGAGAAACCTGAGGTATAGCCCTGACTTCCTCTGTTCCCTAACCACATAATTTGGACCTTGCTGCTTCAGTCACCCTACCTATAAAATGAAGGCATTGATAGAGAAGGAACCCCAAGCTACTCTAGGCTATATACCAAGATGGATTCTGGTATCCCGGGACCCTTTACTCACACAGAGCCGAAGCTCCTTCTTGATTCCAAGAAAGGAGTTGGCGATGCTGCTGACCTTCCGGCGAATGTGGTGATTGGATGTCTGGTAGTTTTTGAACACTCTGTCTAAGTAGAACCTCAATAAATGGTGGAAAAAGCAACACCTCTCTGTAGGCTGGAGGAGAAAAACGAAGGGATGGGGTTAGATATAGGAGGATCAGCTGGATGGCTTTGGATATTGGCATTCCTGAAATTCTGCACCCCACTTTACCACCCAGCGCTTCTCTGTGCCAGGCCCATACCTTTATGTCTTGCAAAGCTTCTGAGTTCTTCAAGATTCTGTTGTCCAAATTTTCATCTTCAGCTTGCTATACAGAAGGGAAATCAAGAAGAACTTGTGTTAATGGCTCCACCTAGAGGCACGAATGGCAAACCCATTCAGTCCTTCATCTCCCACCTCCCATCTCCCCAGACCAAGGTCAAAGACATCCTTTCCAAAAGCCAGAATGAATTTCTCCCCACCCTCACGTCCCCAGGTTCTAGGTTGTGTCTCTGTGCACAAACTCCAAGAAATGAATCCAGTTGGGAGTATGTGACTAGCAGTGAAGGCACAGGAGAGACTCAGACACCAGCAAAGTGGGATTCCCCCCCACATAGACACACAAACCCCTACATACCACATAGCCTTTAATTCCAAAAATTCATTCCTTATTTCCTGAAAGTTCATGGACAGGACACAGCTTCCCAAGTGGAGTCTTTTTAGTCCCAAAGAGGGCAACACAAATAGTAAAAACACAGTTGAGAAAAGACATAGGGAGAAAAAACAGCCCTTCATTTTTGGGCAAGGATCTGGCATTGACTTGGATGAAGAATTTTGCTGCAAAGAAAAGAAAATATATCTCAATTGATTCTCTTCTAACAAGTCCCTGGAAAGCTTTCCCCATCCCAATTCACTGAGACTAGGTCTTTAAATGACCTGCCTGGTCCTGGTATATCACTTACTAGAGCAAACCCAGGGTTTTCTGTATGGAGAAGCAGGGCCAGGGGACTATCAGAGACCTTCTGTTGCTGTTTGGTGGCTGTCAGAATGGGCCCAGTGAAGCCACAGGTACCTTTATGTTCCCCACCATCCCTTCCCCATCGTCATTACTAAGCAGCAGTAGTGCCTGGAGCATCAGACATCAGTAGAATATGTCATTTCAGGGAAAAATGTCAAAACTTGTTCAGGGAAAATGACGCATATTTCCTCCCTCTCTTGAATGCCAATCTAGTTATCTGTTCTGGTCCCCCATGAACCTGCCAGGGAACTGGGGAATACCAAAGGAGCTTCACCTGACTCGGTAGCTTTGATAGCCCCTGAAGACTTCTGGGGTGGAGCAACAGAGAAGCCTTAACTCCCTCAAGCATTTGTTTGAGATCACTTTGGTTATTTGAGGTTATTACTTTCATTTTACTGCCTAAGGGAAATCAGAAACTCATTGATGATGTAACCAACCTCACAGCCAAGGGAAGATAAAGCTAATGGGCTACAAGCCAGACTTTTTTCTTTAAGTGTCAGGTTATAAGCAATGCCTTCATAAAAGGAGCAGTTATCAGGCCTAAATCCCAAATCACTCTGGCTCTCCTTGACTGGCTAACAATAGGTCCCAGGCCAAGCCCTACTCAGTCATTGTTTGGGCCCTGATTGGCTCAGAATGAATGTAAGTAGTAATTGTTTCTGTTTTGTCCAGAAACCAGGGGTCTCCCCCTCCAGATAGATTTTTTTTAAAGAGGCCATTCTTTGCCTCATTTCTTATTAAGCCTTAATCACTGAATGGGCCCTGCCTCAGTCAAACTGAGACCGTTAAAGACCTTAGCTTGAAAAGATCAAGGTCCCCCACTGCATCCTGGATTATCTCCAGTCATCCTGATCTATATCTTGCCACTGGATCAAGACGGCTCTAGAGGAAAAGGTGATGCTGGTGATTTTGCTCAGCCCTCCCTCCAATTCACTCTCATATCATGGCATCACCTCCCTGATGTCATGGTCCTCTTCAAGAATGAAGGGCAAACAGCAAGCAGTTATTGGGCAGTCTTATTTGCTTGTTTGTTTGTTTTAATACAATGCAACAGTACCTACTATGTGCATGGCACCATGCTAAACACTAGGGAGGAATACAGTTTAGAGAAAATGTCATTCCTGTGCTCACATTCTATTAAATGGATAAGACATAGGCATAGATAATTATAATATACAATTCTGGCTCCATAATCAGATAAGTAATGGGGAAATGAGCCATCTCCAAGACTAGAAAGGCCATTCAGATAGCTCTCTCCGGCTTTTCCAATGGGAAGCTAGGTGGTGCAGTGGATAGAGTGCTGAGCTTGGAATTAGGAAGACTCATCTTCCTGAATTCAAATCCAGCCTCAGATACATACTAGATGTGTGAGCCTGGGCAAGTCACTTAACCTTGTTTGCCTCAGTTTCCTTGTCTGTAAAATTAGCTAGAGAGGCAGCTAGGTGGTGCAGTGGATAGAGCACCAGCCCTAGAGTCAGGAGGACCTGAATTCAAATCCAGTTTCAGACACTTGACACTAGCTGTGTGACTCTGGGCAAGTCACTTAACCCCATTGCCTAGCCAAAAAAAATGAGCTAGAGAAGGAAATGGCAAACCACTCCAGTATCTTTGCCAAGAAAACCCCAAGTGGAGTCACAAAGAGTCAAACATGACTGAAACGACTGAACAACAACAATATTGTACAAAATAGCATGATTCTACTTTACCTTAACAGACAGAACTGGCAGCAATGTGTGGGAGCTATTGAGAGGCAAATTGGGGCTTCATGTAAGGAAAAACTCTAAAAATTAGGGCCATCCACAGGTTAACTGGGCTACCTCAGAGGTAGTAGGTTTGCCCTTTCATGGATGTCTTCAAGTGAAAGTCATTCGATGGGGATGAGGTAGAGGGCATTTCTGTGCAGTGACATCAGTCTAATGAACACTGTTGTCATCAGTGGTGACCATTTGTCCATCAACCACTATAGGTATTTTGTATACCAGTATGTATGCCAATCAATGAGATGAAATTTAAGAGGGATAAATGTCAAACCTTACACTTGGGTTCAAAAAAATCAATTTCATAAATACAAGATAAGGAAGGTATGGCTAGATAGCAGTTCATTGAAAAATGTTTGGGGCATTAAATGGATTGTAAGCTCAACACAAGTTGACACATGGTATAACAGCCATAAAAGCTAATGCAATCTTAGGCTAAATTAAGACTGTCACACTATCTAGGATTAAGAGAGTGATAGTTCCTCTGCATCCTGCTCTTGTCAGGCCACAACAGGAATATTTGTGTCAGTCAGCAGCTGACAAGCATTTATTAAGCACTGTGCTAAGTGCTGGTTCAGTTCTGGGTATGATGTTTTAGGAAGGATGTTGATGTGGAAGCATATTAAAAACCTCTTATTTCCTCTTCTTGAGCCTTCTCTTCAGATGGCTTGGTCTCTCACATCCTCATCATTCTGATCATTATCTGTCTAGACCAACTACAGTTTGTCAATGTCCTTCCTAAATAATATTATTTCCTAATATTTCTCCCACTTAAAACCCCTTATAGATTTTTCTCTTTAGGAAAATGGGCAGAACAAAAGCTAAGGCCTTTCTTAGGGAAAATGGATTAATGGTGAGAACCAACCTTAACTCTGGTTTAGCTAGGATCATTGCCTCCCTCCCCATTGGAAGTAATGGGTGCCATGACCCAGGTAAAGACAATGGACTCTTTTGCATTCAAGCTTAAGATCTTGATCACTGAAAGGACCACTTTGCAATCCTTAAGAGGAGTGGTTCAGGAAGAAACTTAGTGGTGACTATGCTGAAATGTCAACCCCAAACTGTATCCTACAAATGTTGCTCCCAATCACCTCAGAGCAGACAATCACCTTGGAGGGCATGGGAGACTATATTAGTTTGGACACCTCTCTCTCCAAGTTTAGTTATAGACATTAGCTGAAAATTCCAGAAAGAAAAGCTACAGGTATCCTGGGGTCATCTCAGGGACCCAGTCACCCTTAAAGTCAACCATACAGACTCAGGCACCCATAGGCACCAGTCATCCCTGAAGTCTCCCATAGCAACCTAGGCACCTTTGCAGTAATTCATAGAGACCAGCTATTCCTGATGTCACCTCAGGAACACAGAACCTTTATGGTCACCCAACCACCGCTGGGGTCAATCACAAGCATCAGCTATCTCTGACATCACCTCAAGGTCTTGCATATGCTGGAGGCTGTTTGCAGGTACCCAGCTCCTTCTTTCCCTTAGGTCACTCACAGGAGCTCAGTGACCTTTGAGGTTATACACAGGTACTCAGCAGCCCATGAGATCATCTGCAGAGACCCAGGCTTCCACAAAGACTCAGCTGCCTCTGAGATAATCGAAGGCATGCAACCCCCTCTGAAGTCACTCACAGGGCCTAAATACCCTTGAAGTTACACACAAGGACCTGGACACTCCTGAGATAAGCCAGAGGAACTCAGTTGACCCTGAGGTCACCTTGTAGCATTGTTACTTGTATATACATCTTTTCCCTCTTTTAGATGTCTAACTCTGTGATTTTGTTGGTATGGGTACTCTTTCCACCAAGGCAGATCACAGCTTCTTTATTACTGACAGATGGTCTTTGAGTTATTGAAAAATGTATCACCTTCTAGCCCTCTAGACCATGTGCTGATGGACCTCTCAGGTAATTCATGCATTATCATCTATTATAGTCATCTATGTAAATGTTATATCCCTTCAGCCTCCACTTCATTTCCCAGCCACCATTTCCAAATTGTGGCATCGAGTGTGCAGCCCTTCCATTTCCCATTTCTCTTTATACACCTTCCTCCATTAGAATGGAAACTCCCTGAGGGCAGGAACTCTCTTGGTTGTATTTTTATAGTCATCACTTAGCATAAGGCATGGCACTTAGAAAGCACCACTTAATAAATGTTCTATCTATCCATTTCTGTCTCTCTTTCTGTCTCTCTCTCCTCCTCCTTTCTCCAAGAGTCCAGGCACCATTTTATCTAAAATTTTATCTCACCCAGCATTTAGCAAAATGTTCTGCACAAGTTACTGAAGTGGTTTGCTATTTCCTTCTCCAGCTCATTTTACAGATGAGGACACTGAGGCATACAGGGTTAGACTTGCTCAGGGTCACACAGCCAGATTTGAACTGAGGTCTTCATGACTCCAGGCCTGGAGCTCTATCCATTGCATATAAGTAATAAATATTTGTCGAATCATCATTGTTGAATTAAATGAATAAATATTTAAATGAATTTCCACGGCGCCCTGTGCATATAGGATGTCTATCAGGAAATGCCAATCAACCTATTTTTTTAACCACCTGATATATGCTCAGTGGAAGGAAAGAAAAGAACATGTGTTTATTAAGCACCTACTATGTGCCAGGTACTATGCTAAGTACTCTATAAATCATATCTTATTTGATCCTCACAACAGTCCTAGGAAATGATGACTATTATGGTCCCAATTTTATAGAATAGGCAGACCAGGGTTAAGTGACTTGCCCAAGGACGCACAGCTAGTAAATGTCTGAAGCTAGATTTGAACTCAGGTCTTCCAAAGTCCTGACTTAGCATTCTATCTATAACACCACCTAGTTGCCTCCAAAGCATTGCTTTGGATAACTTGGGTATAACTCGGTGTCATACTTGGTACTAGGGTATGGTGGGAGATTGCAAGGCAGGGAGGGGAAGGAGGGGCCTGAGTGAGTATACAAAGTAATGTAAGACATAGCAGTGCCTGTACTCGAAATTATCAGAGTCTGAGTGACTATTTCTTCTGCTTAGATTTCTTGTTATCAGCCAACAAGCATTTATCAG